CTACCGCCATTGTCACAATATGAAATTTACATCTCATTCATTCTCCACACGCATTCAAAGACACCACCATTATCATCTGCCACAAACAACGTTGTACCCGCACCGACTTTAGAACCTACGGATCCTCTTCTCCCTGATGTACCCAACTTCGTACCCTCTGATAATCATAATCTTCTTGATGATAGTGATAGTCAACCGCCATCCTATTCCAAAAAAGATGATTTACCTGATTTTGATGAATTAGTAAGAAGGCTTGAAGCACTCAAAAGGAAATAGCCTTAAGTTGGTACATTAGTTTTTGATTTATTAAAGCGAATGATGTATTTATTTTTTCTTAAATGCTATGTATTATGGAATAGACTTATAGAATGCAAATGTTATATTGAATAAATTAAGTTTGGATACAATTGTAATTTAACTGAAGCTAAGTACCATTTTTAAATGTAAAAGGCCAACCTATATTTTAAGGTTTATAAACTCCAATTGAAAGTTTTAACATACAGTAACAATAATAGTTGAATATAAATAAAACAAAATATACTATCAGCTATATATTTTAACCCTTAATTAATCATTACAATAAAGATTGCAAATATAAACCTACTTGATTCAACTCACCTATTAACAATATTAAATCTTTAAATGTGATTTATAGGAATAATAAGTTGCTTGTTTACTAAGTAAAATTAAGACCTTTTTGTTTAATAGAATTAATTATTAATATATTTATAAAATTCATATATTATTTTTTATATCTTATTTACTATACTAATATAAATTTCTAAGCTTGATTTTATTTCTCTTATATATAATATTATAATAAAATTTTATTAAAATTATAATATATAGTAAAAAATTATATAATATATTAAAACTATTTTCTAATTACATTTGTTTTGTTAAAAATTTTTCTTTTATAATAATTTTTTTTTAAGAAAAAATGGTTTATACTCTTTATTACAAGTAAGTCTTAGTTCAAGAACTCAAGAATTCTCAAAATAACTAATATAGTAAAATAAAATCTTTGATCAAAGTCTATTTAAGTTTAAAAATTTGATTATCTTTTAATTATATAAGAAAAGATTTATAACCATTTTTTTTTGTTTTTTTGTATTTTTTTTTATTTATTTATTTTTTTTTATAGGCAAAACATATTACATATGAGACTTTTTATTAATTACCAGAATTATTTGATTATTACATAAAAGATTTGACTAACTATTTAGTTAATCTAATCCTAGCATTGCCTATTATAATCCAGCTATACTTACTTATATCCAGGAGGTGGATTCGTATATTGGATGGGAAATTTCAAGAGAAGGAAAATCCTGCTATCAGTTTTAAACCACCTTAACCTTGGTTTCTGATTTTTAAATGGATATTGATGATAAGTATGTTAACCATTACTAAATTTTTTATTACTTTCACACCTCAAGCTCAAGTATCCATGATATCCATGGTCTTACTTTCTTATACTTCTTAGTAAATGCTCTAAGAGTTGTTTCTATAGTTGGCACACACTACCAAATCTGGGGGCTCAGTTGCTGACCAAGTGGGATGCGACTTCTAAATCTCCCAATAGATACTCCATAGGCTCTTAGTTGGCTTAGGCTACCAAATCTAGGGACATAAATATCAAGCAAGGCACAACTCCTATAGGATAGCCCAGATTTACTTCATGTATCATGTTTGTACAGTGATCTTCTTCAAAGTTACCTGATTGGATCAACACACTTTTTTGATGCTATGGAGACTACTGTGCCAGAAGGAATTGTAAGCTTTTATCAGAATTAAACCAGAAGCCTTTTCTTATACAACCTTTCCTACTTTGACTTGTTTTTAGCTTGTGATCATCAAAAAAACCAGAGGTCCCATCTTTATACAGCCTAATTAAATTTGGTTCAAATCTGGATGTTTGAGTATAACACCTGTGAGAAAACCGGTAAATCCACAAATGAAGAGTGAATTTATATATTTTTGCCCTCTGTGGATATTGAACTAGAGACATGCATTTGGAAACCAGGGAGCACTATCCACTGTGTTATTGATTCACTAATCTTTTTTTTTACTTTTATAATATTATAAAAACCATTTATATCAATATTATTATATTTGTTAAATTTATAAATATTCTTTAAAAAACATATTTAAATAAAATTGTTAGGTCTATTGTTTGTTTTTTAATATAATTTTCTTAAATAATTTTATTATAATAATATTTATTATACTATTTAAAAATTGAAATTAGTTTATTTTCTTTAGATAATTATTATTTTTCAATTATTTAATTAGATTTCATTATTTTATCCAAACAAAAATTATGTTTATTTAAACTGGTTTTTTAATATAACAATAATAACAACTACTATTAAAACAATTAACAATACTATTTATATTCTACAGAGGGTGGACATATTATTGCGGACACTTAAAAAAATTTTTTTTAAAAAAATTGTACTTAATAATTTTTTTT